TCCAGAGAAAAATCATCTTCTCTTGATGATTCTCAAAGCAGGTCCATGAAAACACTTCGAATTTCATTTTTAGAGGCACAGTGTTTGGTTTTCCAGGGATCTCAGTTTCAAATCCCCTGACCATATGATTCTTTGCAATGCTAAATAAGCATTAACATGAAAATCCAAATATTCAGCACTCAGGGTCTAAATATGGGTTAAAAATAAACAAGCAGACAAAATGACTGAGTTTCACAGGCTTAAGTTTGTGCTTATCTGACATGTTTTGTTTGAGTTTTTGTTGTTTTATTCCTGGTCACTCCTAAGTTCAAGTTGGATTTGTTTTTAATTTCTTAACCTATTCAACTGCCATATATTAAATATATATTAAGCATATGCATGCTTTTATAAATTATCAGTATAAAACTAAAAATAAGACATTTTATATTTTATACATCTTACTCTTACATATTTTCAAAAATTAAGAAATCTTAAAAAATCTTCTCTTGATCACTTGCCTCAAGTTAATGTTTAACTTCTATAATCTACAGAAGTGAAATTGACTTTAAGAGTCTTTATCTCAACTGTTGAGAAACAGTTTTTTTATACTATTTGTTGAACTCTTTACTTAGTGTAGAGTTAATCTTATGTGTACAAAGTTAATTGAAAATACATCTTAGTAAAGAAGAAATAAGAATGGGAATAGGAGAGGGAGGAGGAAGAAGGGTGAGAGTGTGGATGGGAGGATGGGTAGGGTGGGAAGAATCACAATGTTCCTAAAGTTGTATTTATGAAATGCATGAAGTTTGTATACCTTAAATATAAGGGTTCTGGGAAAAAATTAATGTTTGAATATCTTTGTTTTTTCATCAGTTATTCTGTGTCCATTTCTTTAAAACAACTTGTATCACCACGTTCACTAATTAGTAATGGTACTAAGAAAAAACAAACAAACAAGAATTGAGACTTTTTAAAACTAGGATTTTTTCAGTAATGATCTTGAGATTTCTTCCAGTAAAACAATTCATTAATAATTCACTGAAATTTCTATAGTTCAGCTTTCTTCTTTTTAGTTAGAGTTGTGGTTTTTTTTTTTTTTACCACACAAGTGCACTGTCTGTATGGGATTCTTCTTTCTCTGTAAGTTTCTTTTTCTTGTGGTTTTGTTCTTCAGTGTTTTTTCCTTCTAGCTGTAAGTGTGTCTATAAATACACTGATACTCTTCTATAGTAAGAAAGGTTAAGAGGATTCTCACTGCCACTTATCAAGCTGATATTATCACACACTTATTATTTCAGGTTTCCTTCCATGACATGTTGTTTTCTACATAAATATTTGGACACTTTAACCCATATGAAAAATCTAATTTAGCTTTCAGCTGGGAACACATTTCATTCATTTGTATCCTATCTAGGTTATCTACATCAAGTTCGTAATGGAAATATTATAAATCTTTATTGTTAAAATCACCCTATATACTTAAATAAGAAAGATGTTACTATAATTATTTAGAAAAATATGTGTTACCTAACAACAATGTAGAAAGAGGTATAGTGAAGGGAAGTTGGGTTATAAATAGCAGATTTCTTGAAAGGCATAGTTGTGTGCAAATATTACGTGTTTTCTCTGAATGAACACTCATGACTAGACTTTTCTGTTGCTGTGCAGACTCGTTGCTTCTCAAAAACATCAAGGATATGTGAGGAAAAGGAAACAAAAGCCCCCAAAGTCTAAATAAATAAATAATAAATAGAACAGGGGGCAAAAATAGAAGAAAGTATAGTTAGATGTTTCCTCACTAAACACAGTAGGAAGTAGATATATAACATATATAATAAATCACAAATTGTTAATAAAATAGTGTCATCATAAATATATCAAACATTAGGACTGGGAGAAATGATAAAAGTAAATAAGAAGCTTAAATTATCATTTATACAAAAGCCGTGTATCTCATTTGTAGAAAAAGTCACATATCTATTTATATATTTGAAAACAAAGCACATTGTTTAGAGAAATAGATACAATCATGGAAATTAATTCAGACTAAGTTTTAAAAGTGCATGACTGAGGAGACAAGAATTATTTTTCAAAAATTCTTATTATTTAGTTGGATTTACCTTGTTATCTCTGTGTGTTTACATACATACATGTCTATATCTATGACATTTATAAACTATATTATAGTATATAATATGTAGAATAAATTAGGAGTTTTTAGTTTTGAGGAAAACTTGCATGTGTTAATAATTGGATGTTCTGGGAGCCAGTGCTGTGGCGTAGCAGGTAAAGCCACCACCTGCAGTGCCGGCATCCCATATTGCAGTCCTGTTTCATTAATCTAACACCCTTATTATTTTCTACTTAGGTCCATTTCCTAATCACCAGCAAACTTCTGGTGTCATCTTCCCCATATTTTCTTTTCCTTCTAAAATAGATTTTATAAAGTCTCCAATTCCAGTCAAAATAAAATGTAATATTTTATTCTATAGTTGGTGTTATAAAATTCCAAGTCTCAGACCTATCAACCTTTTATCACTTAATATCAAGTGGTCTTATTTTGGCCCAATTTTCTTCTGTACTTTATCTATTACCTGTTCTCATGTCTTCTCCATGAAGCATTTTATTCATCTCAATCTCTGTTCTTCAGATGAACAAGCTTATGGCAATAACAGAATATCAGCATTAGCCCTCTATTGGAATCGGTGTATACTTCTCTAGTTAAAGGCAGTTTGAAAGTCATACTATTCTCTCTATCTTAGTAGTGCTGAAAATTGTCATCATGTAAGGCTCTTTTCAACTCTTTCTTAGTCTAATCTTTTGGAAAACTGTGAATGGAATGATTAAAATTTAGTCTACTGTCAACTATCCTTGGATAAATGTAAAACCAAATTATAAAGTTGTAAAAATAAGTAGTATTATAGGAAGTCAACAAATTAAAGAAGCCTAAAAATTGTAATTAAAAAGGTGTAATATGATTAAGTTATTCAAATTCAACTACTAGAATATATTCATTATTTAATATTATTGTGGTATATTTATATTACCTGTATATAGCCATATTCATTATGTATATGGATACAGATATATACACACATTATGTATACATATATTTATGTGGATTAAGAGAGAACAAAGAGATACAGATTTATAAACATACACACACATACATATATACACAGAGTAAGAGAAATGAAAAGTTTCTCAGAATCTTTATATGCAGAAACTGAGCAATGGATCAAAATTGAATTACTCCATGGATGGTAGGAAGAAGAAAACACTCGGATGCTATGGGAAAGGACTGAGAAAATGTTAAGAGCCAACCAGGAAAACTGGAAACATTTCTAATGGTATAGTTTATGAAATTTTACACATAAGTTTAATTTATTTACTTTCAAATAAAACCTGCAGTGAAATCTTTACTCTCCATAATCTCTGGGAGGTATATTTTCTTTCAAGGAAATATAAAGGAGAACTGAGTTTTGTCACAAAGAGTAAGTTTGGTATAAAACAATGGAGAAATACTCATAGAAGAACCACTATATATACATACGCACTACAAAATATAGATCAAAGTATCTTTTTCTTTACTCTTTTGAAAAATTTGAGTTTATTTTCTGTAGACTCTTCATATGGCAACCCATCATTAGTTTAATGATTCTAATTATTTTATTTTAAATAATTCTGTACTTAGATAAAATGATTGTCATTTCAGATTATTTCCTTGGAATGCATTCCCTGAAGTGCAATATAGGTACAGAAATGGATCACAGATGGATCAAAAGTTTTTTAGATTTTTGTTTATACATACCGCAAAATTATTATAAGGCTTATATCAATTTATGCTTTTACCATCATATTCTGTACCCATCCTGTTTTGGAAATTTTCAGCCAACTTCATAATTTTTAACTACTTTAGGTTAACTTATTTTCACTGCTTTAGGTTAGCTATTTTTCAAATGCTTCTCATCAGTCATACTTTTTTATGAGAAGCTGATGAATTATCTACTCATTACCTTTGGCCATTCTTCTTTTGTATTTATTATAATTTCTCTAAATATCATTTATATACAAATGATCATATTTTTGTTTTTTTATAAATAATTACTCTGTTATCCATTTAGCTTTCCACATCTTTAAGGATATTCCACTACAATACAAGATTTTAGAATAATTCAATTGAATTCAATTTAAAATTCTTTATGAGTCCTTTGTGTGAAAAGCTTAGAAACATTTTCTCAACCTTCATTTCAGTGCAAGACTCACCTGCATTTCCCCATTAATTATTATTATAAAGTTACATGTATTCTATTACTCCCTCTGATAATTATTTTTGCCTGTGATATATGTTGATAGAACTGAATGATTTCCTAATTGTACTAGATCTGCTTTAGGATTCCCTTCCATTCAGTGGCTTTTATAACTACATCAAGACTAAATTATTTTAGTAGTTGTAGTTTTATATATTTTGGTAAGTAGTAGGACAAATACTATATATTTCCCTAGCCCTAGCTTTGGCAAATTTTAGAAAATTATATTTAAAATTATAACAAATATTTTCATTACTATCATTAAGTCACTGTAGTTTCAAATGTCTGTCTGTCTGTCTATCTATCTATCTTCTATCTATCTGCTATGATTGGAGAAAAATACACCACTAACTCTGATGGTAAAACTTATCATTATAACTAAAATTATTTAGGTACAGAAATCAGTCATTCAGATAGCTCCTATACAGACATAACTGGCTTACCCGTTAATGTGATACACACAAAATATCTTGAGATGAGAGGGTATAGTCGTGTCCAAAATGAGCTTTTGAGTGCTTATCAGTAATTCTGCCATATTTATTTACCAAGACCTCTAGAATTATACACCTACGACCTTGCAATTCTATCTCATTTGCTTTTCCCTTTCACTTGATTTTTACCACCTGCCACTCAGAGAAACGTGAGTTTACCCTAATGTGACAAATTGTTCTAACCATTATCAGTTTTCCACTTCATTTTCCACCTAATTACCTTGTGAAGTCTGTCATCTCCATCATGATCATACACATCTTCTTGGCCAGAACAATGATGTCGTTGCTTGTATCATCCCATATCTCAATCTCTGCATCTAGCTTGCTCTTTACTTTCTTGAAATCAGCAACTTGCTCAGCAATCTTCTCCTTTTCCGCCTCGGGCAGCTGAGTCATCTTGGCCTAAAACATGCAATAAGTAGACGTGAATTCACTCTACTATCTCAAATGCATTTCAGGTAGAAACGTCATTGTAAGACAACCATAAAACATGTTCATTTAAAATTAGAAGCACTCAATAGTTTAAATCATTCAAACCAAACATGCCAGGTTTATTTTGTTATTTTTAAAAAGAGAACAAAGTTCTCATATTTCATATATACAGTTTTAAGAGCACAATGATACTTCTCACTCTACCATCGCTCCTTAACTCCCTCCCGCCCTCCTTCTTATCTAACTTTTCTTTTAATTCTTACAATGATACACTTTCAAAATAATACATCAGTTGAACTATAATTATGTTCTCTAGAACTATGCTATATTTGAGAATAAAAAGGTAGGATTTGATGTCTGAAATACTTAAATCTATTCTTTAAAATAAATGTGGGACTTCAAAACTTCTAACATTAAAATTTTAAATTAATTCTTATTTAATGCAATATATTACACTTGTTAGAAATGCAATATGCTTTTAATTACATGGTAGTTTATTTTAAAAGGTAAAAGTTTAACAAAATTTCACTTGAGACTGTCTACCTGTGTAAGGATATGTGTACACGCACACATACAGGTAGATTCCTTACATAAACACTGAATATATATTGGTTGATAGTAAGAATATACATGTACAAATCATTTGTTTATATATATAAATAAGACTGTATATATATTTTGTACATATAAACACACTAAGATGCATATATGTATACAAAGTATTACAGAGGAAAAATAAAGCTGTTATCATCAGCATTTATTAAGGCAGCTCTCCCTAATTAGCATGCCGAGTTTAATCTCTCCTGCACATTAATTTAATCTGCATACCATATCGTTTTTTGGGGAATGGGTAGACAATAATGTATATGCTGAAACTACTAGACACAGAATTCTCACCCTTGGGACCTATCACTTTTAATCAAATAAAAAAGGATCTTGAAGTAAAAGTGATCTGACAATTTCAAGATTATGAGTTCACAAGACTTCCCATGTAATTATATCATCAAAAAGGAATTTCAAATATATTCTAACAGTAGTGTATACACAGGGTAGAGGATGAAAGGAAGCATTTTGGAAAAGTTAAATCATGTAAGTATAATTTACTCAGTAGATGAGTAAAACAAGAAATCACTTCGAAAAACTTTGCAGGGTTGGGCATTTGGCCAAGCTGTCAAGACATTGGTTACATTGCCTGCGTCTTCTTTTGGAGTGTCTGGGATCAATATCAGGTTCCAGCTTCTGATTCCAACTTCCTGATAATGTGAATCCTGGGAAGGCACTAGTGATGGTTGATGCAGTTAGATTCCCAACATAGATGTACTAGACATGGATTCAGTTCCCGGCTCCCACCTCTGGCTGCCAGACGTTGCAAGCATTTGGGTAATGAACTAGCAGATAAGTGGTCTCTTTCTTTGCCTATCTATCTTTCTATATCTCTCTGCCTCAAAAATAAGTAATTTTTAAAGATTTATTTATTTATTTGAAAGGCAGATTTACGGAGAGGCAGAGGCAGAGAGAGAGGTCTTCCATCCACTGGTTCACTCCTCAAATGGCTACAACGGCCAGAGCTGAGCCTACTTGAAGCCAGGAGCATCTTCGTGGGTCTCCCATGTCGGTGCAGGGGCCCAAGGACTTTGACCATCTTCTATAGCTTTCCCAGTCCACAGCAGAGAGCTGGATTGGAAGTGCAGCAGCCGGGACTCCAACCAGTGCCCATATGGGATGTGGGTACTGCAGGTGGTGACTTTACCCTCCATGGCACAGCACTGGTCCAAATAAGTAAATTTAAAAACTGAAAACATCTGCAGGGTTCTGGATACAATGTCAAGAGTTCTGAAAATGTACTTTCAGAATCAACAATGTGCAGCAGCAAAAAATACTAAATGTATGAAAGGAAGGAATTAAAAGAATGGTTGCTCTGAATATTTTTATTGAAATATCATGCTGTATTCCAAAAATATGTACAATTGATAATCAAAAACTTTAAAAATGTTTAAGAATATGAAAATGCTATCGTATCTGATTTGCTCATCACATATTGCATCTATGCATCAAATTATCACTCTATTCCCAATATACAGAATTACAATTATAAAATAGTCAAGGGAAATTTCAGACAAAAATAAAACATAAATTGTCTGATAGTTATTATCTATTTAGTCTGTCTAACCACAAGTCTAAAATAATGTCTGTAAAAATATCAGGATTAATTAATTACTTATTCTTTCTACATAGTAAAGAAAATAAATTGAGCCTTTCTGATTTGCAGGTTTTTTTTAAAATTCCATGACACGTGACACTTGTTGAATGCTTGATGAAAGACAGATATTTCTTACTCAACAACAAAAATTATTAAACTATGTTCAGATAGCTATTATTTTTACTTAATTTTCTTCTAAGGATAAGCTTAAGTTGCATGAGATTAGTATTTTTTTTAATTCATGACCTATACAATCACTTTTCCTTAGCATCTAAAAACAGTTTGTAATTTTTTCTCAGGAAATACAAGTTACTTTACTACTTCTAGCATCTGGCAAGGCATATAAATTAGAACACAGCTCAATAGTCTTGAAATAAAAAATAACATGCAAGTATATTATAAGCTACAAACCCAATAACAGCTCATAACTAGAACGAGTTCTCTCCATCCTGACAACTGGTCATTATCAATCTCTTAGAAAAAGTGTTAAACTTTCAAACAATAAAAGCTACAGATAGGGTCAACTGTGGCTTCTTTATACATTCTAAATGACAGGGCTAATAAACCTATAATTTTATATCTAATAAAAATGTTGAATTATACACTGGTATATTATGGAAAATTGTTCACTAAATTTATAATAAAGCTAAAACTATTCAAGAGGTGATCTGGTTAAGTGTATTCTGAGTTCCATTTCTTGAAATGTCACTGATTTCCAATATGACCTTGAGAAAGTCACTTAAACCTCTTGTCAAAGTTTCCCCAGAAACAAAAGGACAATAATTGCCATTGCTACCCACCTGCCATGCAGTGAACAGAGTCGATTATTGGATAACATTGAGACTGACCCTGTCATGGACAGGGAGATCATCGGTTGCACTCGATTTCCTTAATAACATCTCAACTCACATGGTGAATTACAATCAACAGACACTTACCACTGACAAGAGAAGGGCCAAACATTGAGAAATAGCTTGAAAAATTAAAAGTTTTATAGAATTCTGATCCTTTCCCATAGAGGGGACAATAAACAGAAAATGTTAAATTATGGATTTGTACTTTTACTGAAGGTTTTGAATTCTTTAAATAACTTAAAATATGCCATTAGTCAACTTCAATCACAATGAAAATTTCAAAATATGACTCAAAAGAACATTTGATGTTTTAGGAATTCTAAGAGAACATTCCTCGTTGAATTGTTTTGTGCAGGAAAATAAATGAAACTAGGTATAAAGCTTAAGACAAGTAAGGGGGCAATGCTGTGGCACAGTAGGTTAAAGCCCTGGCCTGAAGTGCTGGCATCCCCTATGGACGCCGGTTCGAGTCCTGGCTGATCCACTTCCAATCCAACTCTGCTATGGCCCGGGAGAGCAGTAGATGATGGCCCAAGTCCTTGGGCCCCTGTACCCATGTGGGAGACCTAGAGGAAGCTCCTGGCTTAGTATCAGCTCAACTCCAGCCATTGCAGCCATTTGGGGAGTGAACCAGCAGATGGAAAATTCTCTCTCTCTCTCTCTCTCCCTGTGTGTGTGAAAAACTCTGTCAAATAAATAAAATAAATCTTTTTAAAAAGACAAATCAGGTCAAATAGAATTTCTGATGCCTATGGGCAGGTGGCTATATGTCTAGGCCTTTACTCAGTTTGGCAGAACTCTGATGTAAATAGCTGTCCCAGGCTTTGTGATTCACTGCCATCTGAATGAGAATATGTTGTATTATATTAATAATCCTTATTGATTTTGTATTTTTTATAAAAGGTAATAAAATAGTTAACATTTATATATGCCAGATATTCTTAAGGCACCATACAAATATATGTATTTAAACTTCTATCCTCTTCATGGTAGCCCTATGAGAGAAGTGTTAACCGTCATTCCAATTTTATGAGTGGGGAAATTGAGTCTCCCTGAAATATTGGTTGATTTGCTGAAGATTTTAGCACTAGTTAAGTAGAACAGAACGCAATATACAGAATCTGGCTAAGATTTTTCTTTTTATCCCCATGTCAACAACCATAAGTGATAATGTGCACGATATTCAAGTATCCTAATGCTCATGATGATATTCATCATTCTCTATATTCAAACACAACTGTGTATAATCACATTATAATCACATTATCTTTTTTTTTTTTTTTTTTTTTTTTTTTGACAGGCAGAGTGGACAGTGAGAGAGAGAGGCAGAGAGAAAGGTCTTCCTTTGCCGTTGGTTCACCCTCCAATGGCCGCCACGGCTGGCGCGCTGTGGCTGGCGCACCACACTGATCCGAAGGCAGGAGCCAGGTGCTTCTCCTGGTCTCCCATAAGGTGCAGGGCCCAACAACTTGGGCCATCCTCCACTGCACTCTCGGGCCATAGCAGAGAGCTGGCCTGGAAGAGGGGCAACCGGGACAGAATCCAGCGCCCCAACCGGGACTAGAACCCGGTGTGCCGGTGCCGCTAGGCAGAGGATTAGCCTGTTGAGCCGCGGCGCCGGCCCCACATTATCTTTAGTAATCTAAATTTCCTCATCTGTAAACTAGACACACTACCTACCTCACAGCTTGTTTTGGAGATCAAATGACATAATCTATGCGAGTACTTCAAAATGTTTTCATAAAGTAGAGTTAGAAGATAGATTTATTTATATTAATAATCTTTTTCTCTGTTTATAGTCAACTGCGAGAGTATAAACGTATGCTATTGGCCGGTGCCATGGCTCACTTGGCTAATCCTCCACCTGCAGCACCAGCACCCCAGGTTCTAGTCCCGGTCAGGGCGCTGGATTCTGT